TCACAGATAACCCTTGTCCCAAGCTGTGATGATTAGTGACCGGGACCCTGAGGTGATTTTTGAGCCTGTGTTGAGTGTATAGCAGCAGGGAGAACTGTTGGGCAGCCAGAGCCTGTCTCCCTGCTTTGAGTCGTGATACATGTATGATGTGTTAGGACTTGTTGGTCGCCTGTCTAATGAGATGCACGTAGCAGGCTCTCCTGTGGACACTGACAGGCAAAAGTCAACACACATGTGTCTGGTGGGGGGATAGCGAGCATGTGATCTTTGACTGGGACTACCAGTTCCACCTGATTAAGCTGGTTTCCACCTTCAAATCTACTAAGTCCAGTGACTTTTGGTCGTCTTACCTTTACTTTCCTGTGCTGAGTATAGGCTTGTACCGTCAGACCTGGTTCTCTATCTTTGAACTGATTTTGTAGCTGTGCCATGTGTTCTTCAGTGAAAGAGTAGCATTTTTTTCAAAACTATTTTTTTAATTTTTATTTTATTTTATTTTGGTTCACGAGACAGGGTTTCTCTGTATTGTTTTGGAGGCTGTCGGTCCAGCCTGGCCTCGAACTCACAGAGATCCGCCTGCCTCCGCCTCCCGAGTGCTGGGATTAAAGGCGTGCGCCACCACTGCCCGGCCTTTAATTTTTATTTTTAAATTTAAATTAGAAATAAGGTTGCTTCACATGTCAATCCCAGGTCCCTCTCCCTTTCCCTCCCCTCCTCCCACGCCCTCCCACCAACCCCCCCCATTATCCCCCCATTTCCCCAGGGAGGGTGAGGCCCTACATGGGGTTGTCCATAGTCTATCATTTCATCCAGGGCAGGGCCTAGACCCTCCCCCAAGAGTCCAGGGTGAGAGTGCATCTCGAAAGAGTAGCATTTTATATAGCAGCACTTAGTGGGGGCTAGAGAGACGGCTCCCCGATTTGGAGCATTTGCTGCTCTTGAAGAGGACCTAGGTTGGATTTCTCACAGGTACATGGTGACTCACAATCATCCCTAACTCTAGTTCCAGAGGATCTGATGTCCTCTTCTGGCATGCATGTGCTGCATAGACATCCATGTAGGTAAAACACTCATAACACATAAATCTAAAATAATTCAAAAATTGGTTTGTACTGTTGAGGCCGGATGACCGTCTTGTCTGTAAGTCAGCCGATACCCAGCATTACTGTGACACACAATAAGCCATGCATTTACACTCTGTAAAATACTGCCACCTATGAGCTTGTTAATGAAACCAGGAATATATGGGCAAGTATACATAAACCTTAGCAGAAAGTCAGCTTTTATGACTTTACTAAACACTCCAGACTACTGGAGACTACAGCTGTCTCCCCCTCCTGCAATCAGGTAAAGAGGGATCTCTAGCACTGGGCCATGGTGGTATCCTGTGTCATTAGACCATGGATTGCAATGAGCTCCCAACTCTGTCCCTGACTGATAGACCTCCTGTGTGTGTGTGTGTGTGTGTGTGTGTGTGTGTGTGTGTGTGTGTGTATGTGTGTGTGTGTATGTGTGTGTGTGTTGATGTGATGTCTAAAAACAAGGCTATGGAAAACATCAGGTGCCCTCTGTCTTTACTCTGATTCCCCTGACAAGGGTCTCATGGAAACAGAGGCTTGATGGTTTACAGACCTGCTTCCCAGAGAGCTCTCATGGGTCTGCCTGTTTTTGCTGGCCCTATGCTGGGGTTGTAGCCTCATGAATCCATCCGTACCTGAACTTTTTTGTTTGTTTGTTTGAAGCAGGGTCTCTCTGTAGCCCTAGCTGTCCTAGAACTCACCGAGTAGACTAGACTGGCCTCAGAGTCAAATTGTGCATGTGTATTATAGATAACGAAATTGATGTAGTATGTGGATTTATTGTTAGTCAATAAATTCTGATGTTTTCTAAGGACTATGTGTATCTGTTTCTGAAAAGTGTGTTCACCGCGAGCATGTATGAGTGTTTTACCTTCGTGTCTGTGTGGGCCATGTGGATGCAGGGCCTGGGAAGACAGAAGAGGGTGTCTTTCCCTGGAAACGGGGTTACATGTGCTTGTGAGCTCCCATGTGGGTACTGGGAATCAAACCCAGATTCTCTGCAAGAACGCAAGTGCCCTTAAGCACGGAACCGTCTTGTAGTTGTTAGCCAGGCACAGCGATGAGCTCCTTCCAACTACTCGAGCCTGTGGCTGGGCCCCTTTGAGCTTTCCCCTGAGAGCAGTCTGGATCCTGAACTTAGTGAGTTTGCACTCCTCCTGCCTCAGCTTCCTTCCTAGCCTGTGTCTCGGAGTCCTGCTCTCATTAATTAACATTCGCTTGGCTTGGAAATGGTGTTCTTGTAGGTTCAAGAGCAACAGAGATTCTGGGACTCATTGTTGCCTGGGGTCCATGCCCCGTGGGGCTAAATCTGAAGGTTCCCGTTGGTGGCCATCATGGTGCCTGGGAGATACTCCTCACTTTTCGTCCTTCCAACACTCCAAATTGTCGCGCCCAACCTCGACCAGCAAGGAAGACGCAACGCCCAGACTCTTCTTTAAGCAGTTTATTCAGGAACCTTGAACAATCTTCTTCTCCCGGGGAGCGCCAGGGAGCCCCAACCCACAGCTTAAAAGCCCTTGGGCGGCCAACCCCAGTATGCTACGTGGAACATGCAGATAGGCCCACGTACGCCTGGAAGCAAGCCTGATAGCCAGCCTTAACCAAATACAGGTGTTGTTTATCATAGAGAGCACCTGCTGTCGGGCTAGCAGAAGGCGGGCTAGCAGAAGGCGGGAAGCCAGGACCATCTTAAGGGTGCGGCACTTCGCAGCTCTCTACACCAAATTGCCGTAGCTGACACTCTCGGGAGCTCTCAAGACTTGGGCACAATCCACTTCTCTGAGTTGTGATGCTCTTTGCCATGGGCCCCATGATTTCACCCTCTAGAGGACCTCTGCTGAGCTAACACCGTCTGAAACACCCTCTACTTTCTGGGGGAGACCAAGTGTATTCCCTTCCTGCCACAAGGATGATGAGCTCCGGCGCCAGCATTTTTGCCTCAGCCTCCTGAATGGGCACTGTAGGCCTCTGACTACTTTTTGGCTAAGTGTTTTTGTTTGTTTTTTGTTTTTTTTTTTTAAACCCAGTGTCTTTCTACATAGCCCTGGCTGTCCTGGAACTTACCATGTAAAGCTGCCTGGAACTCAGAGGTCTGCCTGCCGCTGCCTTCCAGAACACATCTGTAATTTTAGAATAATTTTAAACGGACTGAAATCCCTCTCTGCAGGGATAATTTTAGGTTTTCCTCTTCATTTTTTTTTCTTTCTTTAAAAGATTTTATTTATTTGGTACACAGTATTCTGCCTGCAATCCAGAAGAGGGCACCAGACCTCATTACATTTGATTGTGAGCAAACATGTGGTTGCTGGGAATTGAACTTGGGACCTTTGAAAGAGCAGGCAGTGGTGCTCTTAACTAATTAGCTATCTCTCCAGTCCGAGGCTTTTCTTTTTCTAATTATCACAAACAGATTAAACCTTTGGCTGGCATATTCAAAACTGTAACATCAGTTACTAATGAAACTCAATGTGGCCTGGCGGTGGTGGAGCACACCTTTAATACCAGCACTCAATGGCAGGGGCAGGCGCATCTCTGTGAGTTCACGGCCAGCCTGAGTGCCAGGACAGGTTCCAGAGCTATACAGAGAAACCGTGTCTCAGAAAACAAACAAACAAAAAAAGTAAGGAAGAAAAAACAACAAAACACCTCACTGTAGAGTGAATCCATAAATGGGCTTTTCAACTGAGTCAGTATGCCTACCCACCCCCATCCCAGGATACCATGTCTCAACCTGCTCAGTCCCACTTAACTGCCCCCCCCCTTTTTGTTTTTCGAGACAGGGTTTCTCTGTGGCCTTGGAGGTTGTCCTGGAACTCGATCTTGTAGACCAGGCTAGTCTTGAACTCACAGAGATCCGCCTGTCTCTGCCTCCCCAGTGCTGGGACTAAAAGTGTGTGCCACCAACGCCCAGCGACTTTTAAAAAATCTTATTTTGGCTGGGTGGTGGTGGAACATGCCTTTAATCCTAGCATGCAGAGGCAGGGGGGAATCTCTGTGAGTTTGAGGCCAGCCTGGTCTACAAATTGAGTTCCAAGACAGCCAGGGCTGTTACATAGAGAAACCCTGTCTGGAAAAACCAAAACTACAAACAAAGCAAAACAACAACAACAAAAGCCCACCCAACTTATTTTGGGAGTGGGCTGGAGGGATGGCTCAGCTGTAAAGGGCCCTTGCTCTTGCAAAGACCTCAGGTTCAGTCCCCGGCACCCACACAGCAACTCACTGGTGTATGTAAGTCAGCTCTGGAGGAACTGACTCCCTTTTCTACTTCTTGGTTTAGTGACTTTATTTAGTTTTTGTTGTTGCTGGTTTGACGTTCCAGACTGTCTGTGTCAGGTTAGTGTGAGTTTACAGTTTTCCTGCCTAATTCAAAATGCTGGTTCAGGTGAGGATCACCACACCAGACTTGGGAGTGTTGAAAGGCAATCCAGAGTGCTGCCCCAAATTCCTTCAGTTGTTCCAGACAGGGTCAGTAGGGTGGGTGGGCACCGGGGGAAGGTGTAGTACAAGGTGATTCCTTTACTTCCTTTGGGGGTCTGCGTGCTAGACTTAAAAACAAACACAGTCTATTTATCATCAAAGGGCAGGTCAGCCTTCAGGCTCCCAGGTAACCCCTTCTCAGTGAGGATAGATGCAGGGGAACTGTGGTTGATTGTACACATATTGGGGTATGTGGGTACTCGTGGAAGGATGCCCATGTTGTCTAAGTTTGGTCTGAGACCAAGAGATGCTGTGTGGAATGGAGTAAACCGATGAGGTTTTCTTCGTTGCCAATGTAGTGATTGTGGCCCCGAGCTGGTTGCTGTGAAGAAGTAAAAGACAGATTTTCCTAAGCCCTTTGGCTTGAAAGCATGTTTACTTGTCTTGTTTTGTTTGTTTTTCTGGAAACTTCTACAGGATACTTCTCGAAGAGTCATCAGGATGAGCTTCCAGGCCTCACCCACACTGGTGCAGCGGGCAGTGCAGAGCCTGCTGAGGGACGAGGCCCTGGCCATCTCTGCTCTGAAGGACCTGCCCAGGGTTCTGTTCCCAGCACTCTTCAAGGAGGCCTTCAACCAGAGACAAACTAACATCCTGAGGGCTATGGTAGCAGTATGGCCCTTCCCCTGCCTCCCTGTGGGATCGCTGATGAAGACTCCCTACCTGGAGTCCTTGCAGGCTGTGCTGGATGGAGTAGACATGCTGCTCACACAGGTTTGGCCCCGGTGAGCGAGACCCACATAGTGAAGAAGGACTCTGACAGTGATAACTGTGGTCGGGGAGAACAGAGTAAAAATGGACCAGATACCTGATGGCACTATTTTGCTGAACTGTACAGGTCTTGTCTGTTGCTGAGCTATCTGGTGAGGGACTCTTGGATAAGGGGGACAGCTTAGAACAGATGCAGCCAAAGTGAAGAGAGCCTCCTCTCACACTCAAAGCAGGAGTGTGGGACCACACTGGGCTCAAAGGTAACAGAGAGAATAAAATAAAGGGTTATAAAAACCCATGTATGAACATCTTCAAGTGCTCCCCCCAGCAGTGCACAGAGGGCACAGCTGACTTTGGGATGCGGACTGAAACCCGAGGTTGAGAACCATGTTGGCCTGTCTTCTGAAACTGACACCTGTTTGTGACTACAGGGGTGTCAGCTAAAAGTGGTGGCATGTGTGGGCTGGAGCAGAAGATCAGGCCTGCTCACCACAGGTCATAAGGAAGAAACAAAAGCTGGAGGACCTTCCAGAATCAGAGGAGAGACAGCCCTTGAAGATAATAGCAAACCTTTGCCTCAAGTCCCACAGACTTGGTGAGTATCATACCTACTTGTTGCGGGGAGCCAAGAAGCCAAGGAAGAGGTCCCTGCAGCTCTGCTGCCCCAAGTTGCAGATTTGGGTGTTGCCTGTCTATACCGTCATAGAGATCCTGAAAGTATTTGAACAGGACACTGTCCAGGAGCTGGAACTGAATTCACAGTGGCAGCTGGAAGCCTTGGTACGCTTTACACTTTACCTGGGCCAGATGAGAACTCTTCAAAAATTCCTTGTGGCAGGAGTCTATGAGAATAACTGTGTTAAGAATATGAAGTATATCCACGATTTTATCTCCCAGTTCTCCAAGCTCAACTGTCTGCAGCATTTCTGCATGAATCGAATCTCCTTTCTCACCTGCCAGATGGAGCATTTGGTCTGGTAAGGGAGGGTGGAGGGTGAGCTTGTTTCTGTTACCACAGCAAACCTTTCTCTTTTGCAGCAGAGATTAGTGGGCATGACAGATGGCCAGGAGGACAGGCCAGAGCTGGGGTGGGTTGTGGTTTCCCCCACAGGAAGTGTGTCTAAGCTAAGGGCATGAGAACAGGTAAGAGAAGGGAGCACAGAAAGAAGCTAATCCCCCTGCAGTTTCCAGGCCAGCAGCTGCGTCTGACTCTAATTCGCCACAGTGTGAAAAGCCCGGATGACATCTGAACCTGTGGTAAATGAGTGGTGCTGGAGTGGAGAGGAAGGGACAGAGAGGAAGTACTGTGAAGGGACAATGTTGTGCTTAGGATGCAGGGAGTCAGTGGATCCCACAGCTGGTACACCATGATAGGTCTTGGCTGTGTTGGGCCATCGTGTGTGTCCCTTTGGCCTGATGTGGACAACACCATGGCTTTCTGCGTATTCAAGGGGGTTGTAGAGCAATGGGCTGTACCAGTATCACAGTGATAGTGAGACCCCCTCAGCCTAGACGGGTAACTTGAGTCTGCTGACTCTCATAGGTAGTATCCATGACACTGACCTCCAATATGGAGTCAGACTGACCCTTGGCCAAGTGGTCCCCTCTACTTAAGATCAACACTGCCAAGAACATGTTTCTGTATCATTTGCCACAACTAACCTCTTGGCCTCTCTCTCTAGGTGCCTGAAGAGCCAGCCCCTTGGAGACCCTGTCCCTCACTCTTGGCCTACTCACATAGACTTGAACCACTTACCCCAACATCAGAGCCTTTGGCAGCGCAAACACCTGAATCTGAGTGGTGTCCCATTATTTCCTTTACGTTTTAAGCCCACCCTAGTTCTCCTAGAGAGCATTACAGCCACTCTGCAGACCCTTGCATTAGAAGACTGTGAACTGAATGACTCCCACATCATTGCCCCTCTGCCTGTCCTGAGCCAATGCGCCCAGATCACCAAGATCAGCTTCTACAACAGTCTCATATCCATGCTCATCCTAAAGGACCTCCTGTCCCACACAGCCGACCTGAGCCAATTGACCCATGGGTTGTATACCCTGCCCCTTTGGAACGCTATATCTATGGTCCCCTCATTTTAGATAGATTTGTCCAACTCTGTTCTTCACTCACAACTACACTAAGGGACATAAGGCAGCCTGAGAAGGCCAGCTTTGGTTCTGAAATCTGCCCTGAGTGTGATGAGCATTGTGTCTATAACCTGGAAACCAAATTATGCCCCTGCTGGAAATCCGATTGGAAAAGTTACTCCTGGGCACTGAAAAAAATAAATCCAGGGATTACATTTGTCATCAAGGGGGCACAGATAAATAGGCTTCGGGCACTGTTAAATTTCTTTGAAAGGAAAATAACACGGATTTTTTTTTTTTTACTGGAAGTAGTCGTGTTATAAGCTGGACATGGTGACACACACCTTTAATCCCAGTACCTGGGAGGCAGAAGCAAGCGGATCTGTGTGAATTCCAGGCCAGCCAAGGCTACATAATGAAAAAAGAAAAAGGTCATGTTGACAGAGAACAATGGCCCTATCTATGGACGTTGCTTTGTGACCACAGGGAAGACAAACACAAGGAGATTGAAGCCCAAGAGCCCTTAGCATCGAGATGTACAGTCTGTCACACTTTTGTCCTGTCCAGTTCCGTCATGTAGACTTGAAAACTGGGAGTAAGGCCCAGTGGACCAGTATGGAGGAAGAACAGGAGGCTGTGAGAGACCATCTGCCCGTTGTGACACAAACCTTGCAAACTTGGTAAGACCTAGCATCATCAGGAGTCAGGTTTGGGCTTGTACTGTGAGACTGTTTCCAGAGAAATTTAGCTGAGGAGAAAAGGCTCAACCTAGTGTGGGTGGCACCACAGTGTAGATTGTGGTCCTGAAGTCAATTAAGAAAAGTGAGTAGAACATTCATATCCATCAATTTCCTGACTGGACACTATATCCAGCTGCCTCAGACTCTTATTACTGTGCCATTCTCTCCATGAACTGTGTCTTCTCCAACTGTAACCCAAATAAACTCACACATCAAAGAGGTCTGTGGAGAAGATAAACTGGAATTCAGATGTTTAGATCTACTGCCTAGGGCCTGGAGAGATGGCTCAGAGGTTAAGAACACTGACTGCTCTTCCAGGAGTCCTGAGTTCAATCCAAACAACCACATGGTGGTTCACAGCCATCTGTAATGAGATCTGGTGCCCTCTTCTGGCATGCAGGCATACATACAAGCAGAACTCTGTGTACGTAATAAATACATCTTTAGGAAAAATTGCTGCCTCTACTTCTCGTATGGGATCATAGGCATGTCCCACCATGCCTAGACAATAAGCCACATTTCTGTGGGGCTATACTGTTCCCCACCTCTATCTGGCCACCTAAACACTAGGCAGATTTCCTTTGTGGCCTTCCTCAAGTATTGACTGGACCTCTGAACTCATGGTGGGTTTTCAAGATCTCATCTATTCCATTGAGATCACTGTCTGTCTTAGTAAGGGTGTCCCTCAGCCTGGCCATTACACTGCCCTGTGACCTTATAGTTTTGTTCCACTGGGACAATAAAAGAACTGTGGATGTGTGCTCTATACAAATGTTTCTTTTGTTGGAACGGTCTGGGAGGGCACGATGTCCAGGTCTCTATGGACCTCTACATGGCCTAGCATTCAAGATCCTTCTACCTCAGCCTCTTGGGTTCTAGGATTACACATGTGCCAGCAGGCTTAGTTCTAAATGGCTTTGTATCTTGCCTTTCTTCAATAAAAGCTCAAGCCCACACTAGCCTCTAGCTATGTAGCTAAACTTGTCATGGATGCCTAAATCTTCAACCTCAGCTCCCCAACTCCTGTAATTACAGATTGGTCAAACCAGGCTTGGCCAAGCCACTATCAAGAGTTATCTGAAGGATGGAAAACCACAAACAATCAGGGGCCTTGAGTATGAGATGAAGCCACTCCGTCTGCAGTGTGACTGGGGTTTGAAACTACAGTCATACAGACAACACTTGACTTCTTAAAGACATAAAAGAAGGATGTCTAAGCCAGGCGGTGGTGGCGCAAGCCTTTAATCCCAGCACTCGGGAGGCAGAGGCAGGCGGATCTCTGTGAGTTCGAGGCCAGCCTGGTCTACAAAGCGAGTCCCAGGACAGCCTCCAAAACTACAGAGAAACCCGTCTCGAAAAACCAAAAAAAAAAAAAAAAAAAAAAAAGAAGGATGTCTAGCCAGGTAGTGGTGGCACAAGCCTTTAATCCCAGCACTCGGGAGGCAGAGGCAAGCGGATCTCTGTGAGTTCGAGGCCAGGATGGACCGATAGCCTCCAAAACAATACAGAGAAACCCTGTCTTGTAAAACCAAAAAAAAAAAAAAAAAAAAAAAAAAGGATGTCTAAAGTGACATCTTGGGGCACATAGTGTCAAGCCTAGTGATCTGGAACGTGTGTAACAGACCCTGGCAAATTATCCTGTGATCTCCAAACCTGCTGTATGGGTTGTGTTTGCACACACACACACACACACACACACACACACACACGCACACACACACGCGCGCACACACACGCACACACACACGCACACACACACGCACACACGCACAAATATTTTTAAGAAAAATTTAAAGCCTCCAACCACTGCTTACCTAAGATCCAACACTTACAGCTTTGAGTTCAACTGTATCAACACTTCACTCTTCTCTCATGCCTTAATCTAAACAATACACTCCATAATACTACACCCACTAACAGAACATTTTAATTTGTGGGTACTCACTTATTTTTTTAAAGATTTTATTAAGTATACATTGTTCTGCCTGCATGCATGCCTGCAGGCCAGAAGAGGGCACCAGATCTCATTGTAGATGGCTGTGAGCCACCATGTGGTTGCTGGGAATTGAACTCGGAACCACAGGAAGAGCAGCCAGTGCTCTTAACTTTTGAGCCATCTCTCCAGCCCAGTGGGTACCCTCTTTTAATACCAGCACTCTGGAGGCAGAGGCAGGCAGTTCTCTGAGTTTGAGGCCAGCCTGGTCTGCAGAGTGAGTTCTAGGACAGCCAGGGCTACACAGAGAAACCTTGTCTTGAAAATAAAAACACACACACAAAAAAAATCTCAGGAATGTTCTGTGTTTTACTTGGAGGCTGGCTGAGAGTATACTGGGTAGTGTTTCCTTGAGGGCATCGAGTCACCAAATGTGGGCCAGATGGCAGGGAATGACTACAGCCCCCTGAACTGTAGCTGGTTCCGGTGACTCCTCCAAGGCTGGTAAGGATGTGTGGTGTCCTTCCCTGATCAACCACTGGCTTCTGGTCCCAGGGGATGACTAGTCAGATTACTGAGTTCCCACGCAGCTCATCCCTGTGTAGTCCTGGATGCTTCAAGGGACAGATGGCATCTAATGTGCTTTTGCAGATCCCACTCATTCCCTGTGTTCAGTCTTTTTTCCTTTTGACTAAGCCCTTTTGTGTGTGTATGTGCCTCTGAATGCTCAACCCCTGCCATTCACAAAATCTCATGTGTGATCCTCTCCCACCAATCACCTCACGTGAAGACTTTGTTCATGTGACCCGCTGAACAACTGCACAAGTGCAACGTGTGACGGACACCAGAGGGGGACATCCAACGTGTGACCATGGCCTTACCACTACCATTCCAGAGACACGGCTCAGTTTCCAGTCTTGCTAGGAGCCACATTTAATTATTTTTAGGCCTATTTATTTTACTGTATGAGTACTTTCCTGCTTGCGCATATATGTGCACCAGTGTGTGCCTAGTACCCTGGGAAGGTACACAGACCGAACCCCTAGAACTGGAGTTTTATATGGTTGCGAGCCATCGTGTGGGTGCTGGGAACTGAACTCAGGTGTGCTGGCTAGTCTTCTGTCTACTTGACATAAGGTTATCTGAAAGGAGGGAGCCTCAGTTGAGAAAAGAATGCCTCCATACGATCCAGCTATAAGGTACTTTCTTAATTAGTGATTGACAGGTGTAGTGTGTATTCTTTCCCGCCAGCTGCCTGGGCCCCGCCACTGTCTCTGCCCCCAGATAACACACAAGACACTATATTAATTATAAAGCCATTGACCATTTGCTATGGTTTCTTAATGGCTAGCTCTGATTTAATTATTAACCCATAATTTCTAATATATATTTTTATAAGGTCTTATCTTACCGAGAACTCCAGACTTGCGCCCTCTCCTCCCGGGATCCCGTGGCGACTCTCTCTCTATTCTTGACTGTTTCCCAGAATGATCTTCGACTCCTAGTCCCACCTATCTTGCTTCCCTATTGGCCAATAGTGCTTTACTTATCAACCAATAGGACAACATATACCCAGAAGGACTTCCCCCATCAGACGGGGTAAGGCCTATCCCATTGTGGGTGGTACCATCATTTGGCTGGTGGTCCTGGCTCTATAAGTGTTATGCCAGGTTCGTGAGACCCCAAAAAAGACCACCAAGGGGCTAACTCACTGATGGGAATGCATAAGATTTAATGTTAAGTTACAAGCCTCGGCAAGGACCCTGTCCAGCAAACTGGCACAGCAGCTACAGGAAAAGGGTGCCTGGCCTCAATTATGGGGGTTTATGCAGGAAAAAAAACACAAGCAGGGTGCTACGTGCCTTGCCTGCTCAGGACTGGGTAAGAATAGGTGACCTTTGGATTCACTGATGTGGGTGCAAGGGGAATTAAAGTTGTTACTAATGGTTGCCCACAAGGACAGTTGTGCTGAGATGTTATTTACCAAAATTAGTCATTGCCTGACCACCTGGATGGGGCCACTTTGTCCAGGGTGGGCACAGTTTGGGTGCTCCTTGTGAAAGACCCCGGCCCAGCGCAAGCAGCTGAGGCTTATGGAAAATTCCTTTCCCCCACAGCTCAGCCGAATAGTCATTTTTTTTGATCAGAAGGAAGCTCAGCTCAAGGTCTTTACAGCTGCATAGTCACTACTATCTCTGTCCAGATAGGGGCCCAGGTGTCTATGGTCTGCACAGCCAGCCCAGAAAGATTGGGCAGGCACAGAAACCTTTGTTCTTCAGATAGGGCCAAGGCCGAGAATTGAGTTCTGAGAGAAACCTTAATTGCCTCTCTGTCCAGATGAGAGAAACCTTAATTGCCTCTCTGTCCAGATGAGAGAAATCTCGTTCTGAGCCCCAGCCTCATTTAAATTACCCAATCAGGGTCCCGTAACTAGGCTTCTCGCTTCTGTACTGCGCTTTTTGCTATAAAAGAACCCCTGAGTCCCCAGCTCGGGGCTCTCAGTTCCCGAGACTGAGACGCCCCGGGTACCCGTGTATTATCAATAAAGCCTCTTGCTGTTTGCATCCAAGCTCGTGGCCTCGGTGTTCCTTGGGTTCGGGTCTCCCTCCCGTGAAAGTCCCCCACCTGGGGTCTTTCATTTGGTGCATTGGCCGGGAAGTGAGACCCCGCCCAGGGACCACCGACCCACTTCTGGGAGGTAAGAATTGTCCGGACTAAATTTCTGTTGTTCTGTTGTCTGCTGTCTGTCTATGCCTGTTATTTTCTTGCGCCTGCGTTTGTAGTATACAGCTGTATGCATTTGTAAGCTCCAGGAGACGTCCTGGTAGCGTTTGGAGTACTCTGTTGTTTGGGGGCCCCGTTTGTATTTGGAGTACTCATTTGTAGGGGTGGATGTCAATCTGCCCCGTTTGTATTTGGAGTACTCATTTGTAGGGGTGGATGTCAATCTGCCCCGTTTGTATTTGGGGTTCTTAAGGAACCGTTTGTTTGGGGTAGATGCCTAGGAATCTGCCCCGTTTGTATCTGGGAGTCCTTAGGGACTCGGTTGTTTGGGGTAGATGCCTAGGAATCTGCCCCGTCTGTTTGGGGAAGTCCCACTGGCCGAGGGAGTTTCCATCCTGATAGGGGACAAGGACGGGAGCACAAGGCCCCCGTCCCCGATCTGAATTTGCTTTTGACTTTCGTCAAAGCCGCGCAGCGAAAATCTGTTTGTTTTTGTTTCTTATCTGTTCGTCCGTCTTAGTGTCGTTTGTCATCGCTCTCGAGAAAATGGGCCAGACAGTTACCACTCTGCTTAGCCTGACCCTTTCACATTGGCAACAGGTCCAGGAGTACGCTCACAACCGGTCTGTCGATGTGCGCAAGAAGCAATGAATCACCTTTTGCTCTTCTGAATGGCCAACTTTTGATGTTGGCTGGCCACGAGATGGCACCTTTAACTCTCAAATTATTTTCCAGGTGAAAGAGAAAGTCATGGATCCTGGACCCCAGGGCCACCCGGACCAAGTACCCTATATAGTTACCTGGGAAGTGCTGGTCTATGACCCTCCTCCCTGGGTGCGCTCCTTTGTACACCCAGGAGGTCACTCCTCCTCCTCTCCCCCACCCCTGGCCTCCGGACTGCGAGGCCGCAGGGAGCAGCCGCTCCGGATTCCACTGCCCTGCCTCCGGACGGGCCATGATGGCCAGTTGCAGTACTGGCCGTTCTCTGCCTCAGATCTTTATAACTGGAAAAAATAACCCCTCCTTTTCAGCAGATCCTGTGAGAATGACTGATCTATTGGAGTCGGTTCTTACTACCCATCACCCCACCTGGGGCAAATGGACAACCTACGCAGCTTCCAAATGAAATTGATGCTGCCCAGACTGGGACTTCACCACTGAGGCAGGTAGGACCCATCTAATGTCTTTAATGCCAGTTGCTTGTAGCGAGTCTCCGAAAGACGGATAAGCAATCTATAAATTTGGCCCAGGTAAGACAGATAGTTCAGAAGGCAGAGGAATCGCCAGCCGCATTTTTTTGAAAGACTTAAGGAAGCTTACAGAATGTATAACCCATATGACAGGGGTATACACTACCAGATGTATTGAGGGAGACAGAACGTATTTTTTTAATAAAAGAGAAGCTCAGAGAGAGAGAGAAAAGAGGTAAACAGAATGTCAGAGACAGGAAATGAGAGAGACAGGATAGCAAGGGACAAGAAGCGTAATAGAGAGATGACTAAACTGTTGGCCACAGTAGTTGCAGAGCAGAGACAGGATAGGCAGAGAGAGGGACAAAGAGGGCCTTGCCTGGAAAGGAACCAGTGTGCATACTGCAAGGAGAGAGGACACTGGGCAAGAGAATGTCCCAAGAAACAAAGAAGGACATTCCAAAGGCCCAAACCCCGCTCTCAGACCTCCGACCTGCTGAGCCTCGAAGATTAGGGAGGTCAGGGCCAGGAGCCCCCCCTGAGCCCCGGATAACCATACCAGTAGGGGGGCGCCCGGTCACCTTCCTGGTAGACACGGGGGCTCAACACTCTGTTCTAAATCGGTCACCCGGCCCCCTGAGCCGACGAACTGCCTGGGTACAAGGAGCTACCGGTGGGAAGCAATATCGATGGACCACGGACCGCCAGCTCCACCTAGCGACCGGTAAGGTGATGCACTCTTTTTACATGTTCCTGACTGTCCATACCCCCTCCTGGGTCGAGACCTCCTAACGAAGTTAAAGGCTCAAGTACATTTCGAGAAAGCCAACATAAGAGTCACGGGGCCAGAAGGGGCCCCACTCACGGTGCTGACCATAGCCTTAGAAGAGGAATATAGAATACATGAGCCCAAGGATGACTCTTTTAAGGTCGAGGACCGCTGGTTGACTGACTTTCCCCAGTCCTGGGCAGAGACTGGAGGAATGGGACTAGCCCTCCAGCAGGCTCCCATCATAGTCCATTTAAAGGCATCTGCTCTCCCGGCCTCAATTAAACAATATCCCATGTCCCGGGAGGCCCGCGATGGAATCAAACCTCACATTAAGAGGCTACTGGAGCAGGGCATTCTAACCCCCTGCCGGTCCCCCTGGAACACTCCCTTGTTGCCAGTCAAGAAGCCCGGAACCAATGACTATAGGCCGGTCCAGGACCTCCGGGAAGTCAATAAGCGGGTTGAGGACATACACCCCACGGTCACCAATCCCTATAACCTCCTGAGTGGACTGCCACCTGACTATATTTGGTACTCAGTCCTGGATTTAAAGGATGCCTTCTTCTGCTTGCGGTTACACAAAGACAGCCAGCCACTGTTTGCCTTTGAATGGCAGGATGCAGACCTGGGAATCATGGGACAACTTTGACTGAGGGGAGAGCCAGGAGAAAGCCTTCATGGACATCAAGAAGGCTCTGCTCAGCTCCCCAGCTCTGGGGTTACCTGATCTGACTGAACCCTTTGACAAATTGACGTTGGGGCAGCCTTTGACTATCTATGCTCAGGCAGCCACCAGGCCGCTGGCTCACCAATGCCAGGATGACCCATTACCAGACTCTGTTGCTGGACAAGGACCGAATTCACTCCGGGGCTCCGGTGACCCTAGACCCCGCCTCGCTACTCCCCCTCCCGGGGAAGCAGAGACTCATAACTGCTTGCAGGTCCTGGCTGAGGTCCATGGGACGAGAGCTGACCTCACGGATCAACCCCTTCCCAACCCTGACCTTGTCTGGTTCACGGACGGAAGCAGCTTTGTACATCAAGGAGAGCAGAAAGCCGGTGCTGCATTGACAACTGAGTCAGAAACAATTTGGGCCGAGGCCTTGCCGCCAGGAACATCAGCCCAACGAGCAGAACTGATTGCCTTGACACAGGCCCTGAGACTGGCAGAAGCCTACCCCACCAAGCACGAGACAACAAAGGTGGTCACCAAGAAACTTCTTGAAGAAATCTTCCCCCGTTACGGAATGCCACAGGTATTGGGGACAGACAACGGGCCTGCCTTTGTTTCTCAGGTAAGTCAGTCTGTGGCCACCTTGTTGGGGATTAATTGGAGATTACATTGTGCTTACTGACCCCAAAGCTCAGGACAGGTAGAACAAATAAATAGAACCATTAAGGAGACTATAACTAAATTATCGCTTGTAGCTGGCACTAAAGACTGGGTCCTCTTGCTCCCCCTTGCCCTCTATCGTGCCCGGAATACACCGAGCCCCCATGGCTTCACCCCTTTTGAGATTTTACATGGAACCACCATTCCCTTTGTTCAGTTCTTTGACCAAGATATTTCTGACTATGCCAATTCCTCCTCTCTTCAAGCTCACCTGCAGGCACTCCAGCTGGTTCAGCAGGAAGTCTGGAAGCCTCTGGCCCAAGCCTACCGAGACCAGAGGAGACACCCTATTGTCCCCCCCCACTCCTATCACGTGGGAGACAGCGTTTGGGTCCGGCGCCACCAGGCTAAGAACCTTGAATCTCGCTGGAAGGGACCATACACGGTCCTGTTGACCACCCCTACTGCTCTCAAGGTGGACGGGAT